AAGTGGGACAATTAGCATTATTACACATGATAAATCAGTTAAATCTCTTTGAAGTATACTCAGAACCCCCATACAGAGCCTTTATCACTTCCTTTGCATTTATTTTAGGAGTCATCATGCCCCTGCATACTTCTGATTCAAAAATACAATATTCTAGTCAATTCCTTTTGAATTAGGCTAGCGAAATTGCTTGATTTATTGTTTTTCAGAGGCTAAAATACCCCATAATTAGCCTCTTCCCACGACTCACAATATTTAGATCCCAAATAAACGACGATTGTTTCTTAATGAATAGATACTCCTCTATTCAGAAAAATCAAAACCAATCCAAACAAATGCAGATAGTGTAACAAATGGCCCTTTAAAAATGACTAATATTCAAAAAAGTTCCAAGTCTGCTTTCAATGGTTCTGATAACCCCCAAGCATACCCTTTAAAGTTCAATGCCAGAGCTTCAAATTTCGTCTGGTTAGACTAGATAGATGAAGAAATGTAAAAATCAAAATCATATATCAGCATCTTTAATAGAACTCTGGAGAGAGCGATCCGAATTTCGTGAATTTCCAGGCAAAAATTCTCCAATTATTGAGGGTCTCCATGGGGGGTTCCAGAACTCCTTAACAAAAAAGAGCTGGAGGGTTTTAATCATATGGCTGGTGATAGTTCCCCATACCTATCCTATGTACAAAATATGAGCGGATTTGGCCGACCCCCATCTTCCGGCCACTGCCTGGTTTTCTCATGCAATGACTCTTAAGCATGTATATATACGAATTGTTATGCCTGTTGATGTAATATATGTTTTTAATCATGACTTGAATTGTAAATGTCGTAACGCAATTCAGCCGTTGTGGCTGCAACGTTTGTGGTATGGGTTTTTGAACTAAATAAACCATTCATTATAACTTTGGACGCTTTGGTAATTTTACTCTCTTCAGGCGTTGGTGACGAAATTAAGTAAACAGAAATAAGAATATAATTTTATGATATTTTAGCTTTCTTTGGACAGTAAAATTGCGATAATGTGTACTTCTCATCTCATAGGGTACTATCTAACACAATCATTCCATGTTTCCACTGAAAACCCGGCTTACGCAATCAATGTGGTCTCAGGGGAATCATGGGAAATGCAGACGACAGTGGTGTTGACGTTGTTTTTCTTAGGTTGGTTTTCTACAAAACAAACACTCAGAGACCCACGTATTTACTGTTTTGTAAAGCTTCATTCGTTGTGTTTGTGGCAGTTGTGTCAAATTTTGGTACATGTCGTTTATTTCCGAGTGGCACGAGCCGCTGCAATGCAATGACCCTCTTTCCAGCGCCATTGTTATGATTGGTGAAAATGACCGATATTTTCTTTTTCGACAAAACGATAAATAGATCTATACCTTGCATGCAAATAACACCTGTATGCATTGACTATGTTTATTTCCCTTTCTAATTAGCGAAGTTAGTGGCAACAAACACGGGGTACTTTTGCATAGTAAGATCAGCAAAAAAAATCCGTCCGAAGTTAGGGCACGTCCGTAGTTAGGGCGACCCCCGTTACATTATAAAAATCATGACGATGCATCAACCGGTTCTTGAGTTATCCTCTTTTGAATGTTATTAATTAAACGCCCCTGTAGTTCCAGAGAAAACTCGCGTCACTTCTTCCCCAGCACAAGAGCTATCTATCATCCGAATTTCATGACCCTAGCATGTCCTGATCAAGAGATATTAAAACAGGAAGTTAGGCTGCAGTACCATAACAAGCCGCTAGGGTGCCCAAAATCTAATCATTTCAAGGACTCATCAAGACCTACCCACCTACCAAATATGAAGTCAATACATTTAAGTCTTCTCAAGTTATCGTGTTTACAGACAGACACACACACACACACACAGACGAATGCCTCTGGAAACATAACATTCTTGACGAAGGTAATAATAATGAAAACTCATTTGACTGCCAGGCCATATTCGTATTGAATGCAGATCATAGATCAACAGCTAACACCTTAGCCTGGATGCCAGACTGTTCTTAGGGCCACAGCCAGCCCCAAGTTAGACTCTGGTCAGGGTCTAACCAAGGACATTATACTACAGTAACTAAAGTGGTCTGTGTTAAAATTCCCTTGGGGACATGTTGACCCTGGAGCCGAGGAGCTAGCCTAGCCTGTACTAGATCTAGCAACAGTCTGGCACCCAGGCTACCAACACGTCAGCTGTAGTCATGTGTGATGTAGTGTGCACACTTGACAAATCTTATGTCATCACAATAGTATACTCTCACAGTTTCCTTGGTCTGATTCTGCACATAAGCGACAATGGACTTCAGCCAACAACAGGCCTTGCTGAAGGAACGCCAGAGGAAGTTTCAGGAGTGTCTGGGTGCAGAGATGGAACATTCCAGCTTGTACGGTTTCCGACTCCCTTCCCGTAAGTTTGTTGTTTAGGTTTTGATCGTACATTTAGAAATAATGTTGACATCAATATTGACAGTTATCAGTGTAAATGATTTACTAGAAAATGTCTTACATGCCACTTACCGGTCCCTTGACTGGGGGTCACGGGTAGTGGGGGCTCTGTGCAGCTGAGCACACTACGTCCCTCCATACCGTGTGCCAGCTGGCAAGGGGCTGGCCAATCCACTCCATAAAGCCTCGGTCACAACCCGCCGTACGTGCTTTTGCGTGCTGTCTACGTGCAAAAACGTGGGCAAACGTAGGGCATCCGTGCGTGGTGAGTGCCACCTCCGTACGGAATCCTACGGATTTGGGAACACGCAGACACGCCGTGGAACTTTAAGTGCAAGTAAAACTTTTTCTAGGGGTGGTCTGCGGATTCACCACCCGTGCGTGCGAGTACGAGCAACGCGCGTGCCCCGTACGTGCCGTACGGAAGAAACACGTGTGAGTACGGCCTCCTTACGGTAAAGTTGCAATCGCACAGAGATCGTACGCTGTAAGCACGTACAACTCACTTACCACTTGCGCAACGTACGATGCACGCAACCGCTCAAGGCCAGACGTGGCGTGCAGACCACACTCTTACACCTTGCAAAACCATACGAGTGACGTGCGAGTGACGTGCGAGTGACGCCACTCCTTCCACACGTTTTCAGAAAAAAACGTAGCAGACGTAGCCTCCCGAAAAACGTACGGTACGGACAAAAAGCACGTATGGCGGGTTGTGACCGGGGCTTAACTCAGCAGGACGGTCTTTTCATGAATGAGAACTCTAGGAAAATGTCACCATAACTTCCCTCAAGGCAAAGAATCTGTTGCTCCCTGCCTTTACTTTTAAATTTTTCACCTTTTCTGGTATAAACCAGTATGTCACAAGCATAGTTGATATTTATGTACATATGTAAAGAGTGCCAGTAGTTACGTAAAGTATTGTAATAATTACGTACAGAGCACCAGTAGTTGTGTGTACAGTCTTGTATGTTGTGATAATAGAAAAATTAAGTTTGTAAAATCCAGCACAATTCAGTCGCACATGTACCTGATGTGCCAGTTTGATTTTACAATAGAAATGAAAGTTAAAATCTTTTTTACAAGATTATTTGTTTATTTGCAGCAGTTTTATTTGCAGTTTTATTTGTTTATTTGCAGCATTAAATTGAAGCAGTTTTGTTGTTCCCCCTGATTAGGTCTTCCACTGTGCAGCACCACATCTATGGATGTGAATGTGTCAGACCTGGAGGACCTGTCTCTGGACGACATGTCCAACCCTGGCAGCCTCGGAGCACCGGATGACCTTGAATATGACTTTGACGATGCAGATGTTTTTGACGTTGTTGATTTTGAAGAGCCAGACATGGAGAAGGGGGGAAGAGGTGTGTCTGTGTTTAGGTTGCAGTCAAATTCTCCATCTGTCATACTCTCCCGATATAAAATAGGACAACTATTTATGATAATTTATCTACATTTTACTTCTGTGTTATAATTTGTTCGTCAGGCCATATCAAATTAATTTGTTGGTTCTCTGTTTTTTTTTTTTGTTTTTGTTTTTCAGAAAAATATGAAGCGACAGGGTTAAAACATAAAAATGCTATGGTAGGAGCCGTGAAGGTTTATAAGTCAAACAATCAATGGATTTAACTAAACCAAAGCATTTATTGGTGGAAAAACTGTAACAACTAGAAAGACAAGGACTTTCTTTAACTGTTGGAGCTAACATTTTTTTCAGATCCTGAATATGTTTTCTTTTGCAAGACAGAAACAAAAAAAACAAAGCAAGCGAATCCGAGAACCAATTGATCCAATTAAAACTGGTTTGGCCTCAAATCCAATGGTAAAATCCCACTTTAGAGAAGTGGTCTCTGTGGTGCAAGCAGCTGTGGCGGTAACGGAAAGGATTAGATCCGTGTGGTGTTATGTACAATGTATTAACGTACATTCGATCATCAATCATACTAATGTTGTATGGTACTGTATATTTCAGACAGCTCTGATGGCCTGGCAGCTTGTTGTCAACAAACTGACAGGCAGATTCCTAGATCGGGATCAGCCCTGAAGGACACAGCCTTGAACATGGCCAGACTGCCAGCTCCAGTCACGGACAGCAGCTGCTCACACCGACCAGCCTCTCTCACACAGCCACGGACCTCATCTCACCAATCAACGAACATCTCTCAACAGCTGGATCTGACACAAGACACCTGCTGCCCACCCGGCCAATGCGAAGGAGCGATTCAAACTGAGGGTGTTACGAGTAACCAATCAGCAAGAGCCTGCCAGCAGGGATGCAATTATCGAACCCAGCTGGATAACAGAGAGACACCTTTACAAAACCCTGTTACAGAAGTGAGCACCAACAACAAGGTTCTAGAAAAAGAAACACTTGTGTAAGAGATCCAAGATCTTAGAACTGACTCCTCCCTTCACCAATCATATCTGAAATCAGAAGTATGGCAAACGTTGGCTGTGAAAGAACAGATTACATCAATCAATTTCTTGATAAAATGTTGCAATGAGAATTGTTGCATGCAACAGATAAAAAGTCATTATTAATTCAACCAAGGACAAGACAGCAATGTTGAAACATCGTATTTTCGACTCAAAGACCCTTTTTGGAAATAGAAATTAATAGAACAACAATATGAAGAATGAAATAGAAATTGATGTTGAACAGCAGACAGAGAAATCAGTGATTTGGTGCACGAGGCTACAGGCAAGATAGAATGGTGACATTTTGTCTGGGTTTGACTGATATTGTTGCATTTTATTACATTAATCTCTTTTAGTCATTTGCAGCACTGAAAGTAAATGAAAGCTGGTGCCATGTTTTGGATACCTCACTAAAAATGCAGACTTAGCTGCTCTTCTTGTTATGTTTTGGGCATATGCACAATTCTCCTAATGTCTACTGTGATACTGTTGTACAAAAGTTAATGATTTCCTGTACATTTTTGCACAATAATAGCGTGGGAAACAAAGTATCAACATTTTTGGTTTAGCCTTTTATCATTTTAACGTCAATACATAAGCATAGCATTGTAGAGTTAGATAAATATATGTAGCCAACAATAAACTTATTATTTAGGCTGGCATCACATTACATAATGACCTTGTTTAAAACAAAAGCTAAGGTATACGTAGTAACATAGCCTTTTTAGACCGTAGGGTCAGTGGGTTGGAAGGCGGAGCCCATCGCTCTTGTTCCACTGCCGTTTACCTCCCCAACCGAAGTCAGGTACCCATTTTTACACCCGACTGGAGTGAAGAAAGTCGCGTGAAGTGCTTTTCCACAGGACACAACATCTAGCCACGGGAATCGAACCCGTGACCTCTTGATTTGGTGTCCGCTCGCCTTGGCCACTCGGCCATGTACGTCACGTTTTGAACATAGTGCCTTATAATATATGGCTTTCCAGAATTCGTTTGAGGTGATTCTTGTTTGTATACAAGTAATGAAATCTTGGATTGCAGATGGACTGCAGAGCGTTCCTGATGGTTAAGTAAAAAATTACTTCAGTAGTATTCTGACTGCAATAAACCTGTAACATTTTGTGTGGTATAATAAAGTGCTTTTGAACTGCTTTTGAGTGTTATGGGTGTGTATGCGAGTGTGTACATGTGTACATGTGTGCGTGCACGTGTATACATGTGTGTGCGTGTATGCGTGTGTGTGGAATGAAAGCTAGGTATTAAACTAAACTAAACTCATTTCTTCCTGCATTTAAAATAAGGAATCTGGAATTCGACTCCAGAAATAGCTGTTCTGTTTCTTTAGATAGCATTTTTGTGAATGAATAAAAAAATAATCGTAATGACAACTTGACATTGAGTTTTGACTAAACAGCAGTTCTATCATACACTAACACTATTTTGATACCCCCCCCCCCTTCCCCAACTACGTACATGTACCCTCCGGAAACATATCTTTCTCATAAAATCGGGATGATATTATTGACGAAATACATTTTATTTCAAACTGTTCATTCCATAACAACGCTCGAAATGAATTGACTTTTCAAACTTCTACAATTTATCCCAATTTCTCTAAACTTACAGACCAAGAAAAAACTATTCTTCTTTTAACTTCCCAAAACCCACAAATTTTGGAAAAGGTAGGACATATGTAGTTTTAGACATAGTTATAGTTGTAGACAGCCACCTTTATCATGTAGACTTTAGTTATTCTATACCCTACTCCATTGTTCTTTTATGTTTTGTAATTTGCATTTAGAAAACAGAGGTCCTGAAGGTCAACAACAAAACCAGAATCCCTATTACAGTAGGGGGAGAGACCATCAAGGAGGTGGAGTCTTTTGTGTACCTGGGGAGTGTGATGGACCAGCAGGGAGGCACGGAACAGGATGTCTCAGCCAGGATAGGCAAGGCCAGAGCAGCCTTTGTCACGCTGAAGAACATCTGGGCCTCCAGGGAAATCCACATGGACACCAAGGTACGCATTTTCAACTCCAACGTCAAGTCAGTCTTGCTGTACGGGGCAGAGGCATGGAGAATGAACAAGTCAACACAACACAGGATACAGACGTTCATTAACAACTGCCTCAGACGCATATACAACATCAGATGGCCGGAGAAGATCCGAAATGAAGAACTGTGGAGTAGGGCAGGACAGGAACCAGTTGCCATACAGATCCTGAGAAGGAAGTGGAGCTGGATCGGGCACACCGTCAGAAAGCCAGCTGACAGTACCACCAGGCAGGCTCTGTCCTGGAACCCCAAAGGGAAAAGAAGGAGGGGCCGTCCCAGAAACTCCTGGAGGCGAGACACAGAGAAGGAGCTGTCTGAACTGGGAATGCACTGGAAGGATGTTGAGAGAGAAGCCCAGAACAGAGCTGGATGGAGGGAAATCGTCGGTGGCCTATGCTCCGCACGGGGCCAAGGGCCCAGGTAAGGTAGGTAAGGTAATTTGCAAGTAGCCCCCGGGCAGAATTTGCAATAAACTTTTCATTATATGGGTGATGTTGAATGGAGATATCCTTCCGAATTGAATGAATTATATGTATTATATGTATTATATGTATATAAGTTTTTTCAACTTATATTAATGCCGCCACCAACACATGGACAGTACAATACTCATTTACACTTGAGCGAAGTGAGGAAAGTTGTGTAAAGTGCCTTTCCCAAGGGCACAAGATCGGTCAGGGCATGTCAGGACTCGAACCCGGGGCCTCTCACGGTTCCTAGCCGAGAGCGCTGCCGCTACGCCACACGACCCCGCGTGTCGCTTTGTTGTTTTCATTGTGTTTAGGGTGGTAAAATAAGATAAGTTTACACCCCCGTGACGCGCGCGTTGTGATCGTCTAATGTCAGGGACTGCGGTGTGAACGTGCGTGCGGTGATCTGCGGGGTTTCACCATTTATTGAAATAGGGGTGTCTGAACTTGATCTTGGTTTCCTATTTCCAACGCAGATTTCTCAATGGACATATATTTTAGGAGGGAGGGGGGTTAGCGTGTATTGTGATAGTGGCATTACCAACATTTTTCTTGTAGTGTTACCGTTAACATTACTGTTATTGTGAAATTTTCAGCAGTCTACGTGATCATCATTCGCTATATACCCCCTGGAGGTTTGGAATCTCAGAATTCTTGTTAGTTTAGTAATATAATTTTTCAACTTATCATAATATAAATACATATCATAATTAATAGTATAATTTACATAAGGTGTAGTAGTCAGCACATGAAGAACAAGAAATCCAACAATAGCCAACTTTGCACTTCTTAAGGTTTGTATTTACCCTGCACCAGCAGGCAGTGTTGTATACAGTTTGGGACAATTTTAGATGAAATATTTCGTATGTTTTTTTAAATATCTGCAGCAAAATATATATTATGATGTACCACGTAGCATTCATTAGAAGTCGTATCTCTCTGGTATACAAACACAACGAACTCTTCTTCTGGATATTATTTCTGTTTTTCGTTTGTTTATTGCCTGATAGGAAAATCTTTTCTCACGCAGCAATGTTTAACACTATTAGGCATGATGTGAATTCAGTTAATGGCTCCGAAAAAACTGTTGTAGCTTTGAACAAATCGGTGTTTCCAATTCATATCAATTATTTTCTTACAAATATAGATATCTCAGTGTACGGATGTGGTTGGTGGGAGCGACTGTAGGGTCGGGAGCGGACGTAAACTAACCAGGATGGTACCCAGGCTATTAAAGAGCGTAGAGCGAGAATAGAATCAATAAAGGTCGTTATATTAATGTACCAGCCACTCACAGACGATGTCCTACTTGTAAAGATGCTGTAGAAGATGAGATGCACTTTATGTTATCATGTCCGTCCTACACCGAAGAAAGAGAAACACTTATGAATGCGATCACCAACAAGGCACATATAACATTACCTAAAACAACCTCAGATACTTTTACACTTCTCATGTCATGTTCCGACGAAACTTCCCTGTACATAGGCCAGTATATATCCAAAGCTTTAGTTAAAAGAAATCATATTATATCCGATTCAACCAACTGATGTACACTCTAGTTTATACAGTCATATATAAAAACTTGTATCATGTCAGCCATGTTCCATATATATACATGTACTATATTACTTTTGAAATAGAATGTTATTTCCGATACATAGAACTTGTAGGTAATACTGTAGACGTGAGAGTAGATGCTAGCTAGATATGTAGTACTGAAGAGTTTGCCATGCATTGTACCCGTTACAATTGTGCAATAAAGATTGACTTGACTTGACTATCTGGAATGAGGTCTATTGGCGCATTTTGTATAACGTTAGAGCGTATTCACCGTTTTAATTCTACGTAATGCTTTGTATCCAATTGGAATTTATCGCAAAGCGCAATCGAGAGGTTTCCGAATTCAGTGAAGAGCGTTGTCGGGGCAAATGCAGGTCCCCTTCTATGGCACCCCTGGTGTAGGACACATTTGGTCACCATGCGGAGTTCATAGGAATTACAGGCCAAGAGTACTTCCGGATTACGCCACAGGAAGAGAAAATGGCGCAGCCCATGATACTGGTGAGGTTGGCTAGTAGACACAGAAGCAGAGGTCTGAGGAACTTCAGGGGTCTTCTTCAAATGATGACACATTCCGGAACTATCAGCAGAGAAGGACAGACTACTGGGCGAGCTTTTTCTACTGCCGCAATCGGAGGTATTACATTCGTGTACGAGGATGAAAATAATTTATCATAACGTGACATATATGTCAAGTGGTGTTTTCCAACTTCATGGTTTCGTCTTCTAACAGTTTTATACACATTTTCTACTGTCGACCACGAGGCAGTCATTTCTTGATCGGGCAGCCATCTATAATTTCCCATCATCTCAACAGTCGTGGTCGCTGTCTGTTCTGAACCAGTTAATATGAAATTGGGGGGGGGGGGGTATTGGTGTAAATTATGCTGCACAACAGTTGTACATGTGCAGATAACGTTATATAACCCCTGCAGAGTCATAGAAAGGTTTGACGATATACTTAACGACTGCACATGTCCATGAGTGTCAAAGGTGAGGTCTCAGAGTAAATATACTAGTACTTTTAAAACAGCCATTCGTAATTACCTGAAATTGGGTGCACAGCTAGTCTAGTGCCAGGGGTATACATTATTGAGAGGGTCGGCTACATCATGGACTCTCTCTTCCCAGCCATGAGGGCTGAATTGTGACAAGCTCACCATTATTGGGGGCCTGCATGGGGGGATCCTAACAACACTCTACACTAAATTAGAGCTGGCTACATCATATTACGCTGAATTCAGGAAACCTCTCGATTAAGCTTTACGTTAAATTACAAGTGGCTACAACGCATTACGTAGGATTATAATGGGAAAATGCTCTACGCAAATTGCCCCCCCCCCAAAAAAAATCATGACTTGGCTTGCACTCATCCGGCTGATGCTTTTTAATTTTAGGTATTAATGTCTATTACTAGTACATGTATCGGTTAACTGAACTAAAGGCTGTTAGAAATATTGTCAAAGGCTTATGTATGTAACATACTTAGTTTGAGGAAAGTAGTAACTTATATTACTAGGGTGGGGCAACCTAAAATTCTGATGGGCAACCTAAATTTTGCCGTTCAAAAAGTATTTTGTACACTGCTCATCGTTTTCACTAGTGAGTGAAGTGGAAAGTCGTGTAAAGTGCCAAGAGCACAAGATCGGTGACATTAGGCAGGATTCAAACTCAGGACCACTTGGTTCAGAGTTAAACACTCTGCTGCTATGTCACATGCACACACATTATGACTAATATACTTGGTATGTGGTAATTAAGCACCCCATTTTATTGACTTTGTTCTTTCTTTACTGTTTGGTATTAGGTGGTCAACAGTGCTACCATAAAAGGGATGTAGACCTGACCCCCAAAGTAGACAGACATCTACTGTTTGACACTCACACACTGGTGACCAGACTGGAGACCAACGGTAAGTTTAGCACCTCACATTGTATGTCAAAGATTTCCATAAAATTTTAATAAGGCCACAGGAAGTAATTTTTATGGATGACATCAGCGTGCGCATTAATTTTCGCATGATTTTGGGGAAAAAAAGAAGAAATTTTATTGCCTTCTTACACTGTAAGTTACAGTGGTCAACATGCCGAAAATAGGCAAAGATGTCTGTTGCCATGCCGGAAGGTGGATGGCAGATAACTATGAGGAGAGGAGACAAGAAAAAGCTCTGATTTAATGTTTTGTTTCTTACTTTGATGCAGTGATATGTGATGGTGGCTGTGTATATGTGATGTTCTTACTGAATCAAAACCATTTGTACAATGATTGAATCAAAATTTTTAATTGTAGGAACCTTGTTTTTTTTCGGCCCGCCTGTGTTTTTTTTTTGACCGCTCGCATTAGATTTGGAGTCTGCAGAGGATGTCATCCGTAAAATTTACTTGCTGTGGCTTACTGTAATTGTAGAAAACAATGCAAAACTAGAACGGTAATATTTGGAAAGCAAATGCATATGATTATATAAATGTTCACCCTCACATACTATAGCTCTGTTTCTTCTTTACTCAGGTCAAAAACATTCATACTAATATAATTGGTGACCAGCCCCTGCATCTCTGTCCTGCTACATAATGTATCCCAACACCACAGGGTGTCTGCTACACTGCTAGTGCACCCAAAATTGGAGCTGTGCACCCATTTTTTTCTGTGGCTGCATTTTTGTAGGTATTTTTGTACATATCAAATGTATGATTGTATACAGGATATTCTTGGCATACAAGTGTCACAAAAATCATAATAAAACTTTTGTTGTAGTACTTAAGATTTTGAAATTAGCTCTTATTTTAGATTCAAGCTCAGAAGAGGAGCAAAAGTTTTGTTTTTAAATGGTGAACCCAAAAAATTTATGTGCACCTAATTTTTTAGGTTGGGTGCACCAGTGCACCTATTCCCAAAAATGAATTTCGAGCCCTAAGTTACCATAGTGACCATGGTCCATGTATGGTCACTGACCAATTATGTATTTGGAGGGGAAAAGGAAACGGCAAAAACAACATCATCTATGCAAATGTATGACAGCATAGATTTGATAGACCTGACGTTTGCCCCCCCACCCCCACACACACCTTAACACTTCTTTGTACAACAAGGCTGGCAATGAAAACATACATTGCCATGGCGACAGTAGTTGCTGTTAGGGTTATTGTTTGCATGGCACTGTCATGACTTCATGATTTTGAGGAAGACTTGTAATTTGTACCTGTTAAGTCTAGACAGATACAGTGCACTCCTTGCCTGAGGGTATAGTGAACGAGCCCTGGGGTCACAGAAAGTATAGGACCATCTAGGACAGACAGGTCTTCCCAAGGGTTTCCATGAATGTACATGTGGGCATGGATGTGGGTCAGAGACATGCCTGTGGACATTCCATGCCTGTGGACAAAATGCCTGTACCATTCCTAGAATTCTTGCAAACTGCACACAATACAGTACCATTAGGCTCCTCCCTGAGACGTTGCCAAAAAGTTGTGCTTACATTTTGCCCTACAGGATTTACACCGGAGCAGGCAGAATGTGTGACTCTGTGTCTGATAGAAATCATGAACAGCACTCTGGAGAAGAACCAGAAAGAACTGGTCAGCAAACTCCAGCAGGTAAGTGGATACAAGTTGTCTCCCTGAGCCCCAATGGACCTATACCATTATCACGTCACAGTTTGTTTACCTGTTCTAAAGAGCAGGTATTTCTGATGTCTACCTGTACCTAACCTGCACTGGTCCATGTACTGGGTATATGCAGGTTAGTGCAGGTAAAATTGGAGCTGTGCAGGTATTTCTGATGTCTACCTGCACCTAACCTGCACTGGTCCATGTACTGGGTATATGCAGGTTAGTGCAGGTAAAATTGGAGCTGTGCAGGTCCTGCACAATTTTTCCTGCATAGGTAGGTATGTACAATGTACAATTGCAGGTACATAATGTCTACCTTGCCAGCACCTAACCTGTACTGGTCCATGCACTGGGTACATGCGCATGAACCATTGAAAGTTGGGTTCTCTATCTGCATTTATGTCAGAATTTGAAGGGTCTAAACACATTTTGCTCAGAAACAGAGGCAAAAAATTGAACTACACCATTTATTTTGAAAGGCAAATTAGCCTCCCTTACAGATCCAACTTGCTGAAAGTAAGTACTTAGTCAAAAGACATGTTTCGTGAATTGATGACGAATTCCACTTTATGATTGTGATGTCCAACATATGAAGGAAACATACAAAAGTTGATGCAATCCATAGCTTCCAAAACTAATGTTACGCTACCACACTCAAAATCAGACATCTAATATGCTCCTTTCATGTCCTACTCAGATATCAGTGTATGTTGGAAAATTCATATCTGAATCACTACAAAAGCGACACCATATTGTAAATAGTTAATTAACGTTGATATATCCCCTGAATTACAGAATAATACTCTTCCTTTAAGAAAACACAATAGATTTAGTATCATTATGGACTAGCTCGTTAGAATTATATTTTAGTATTAGTTTATGCATGTACCATTGTTGTTCCTTTGCCATACGTTGTACCAGCTACAGTTGTTGAGCAATAAAGTTGATGACATGATTACATGTATTCTACAGGAGGTGATGATGCAGCAGCTGATGGCACACATGTCCTCCATCCGCAAGGACATGGTCATTCTGGAGAAGAGTGAATTCTCCATGCTGCGGAATGAGAATGATGTAAGTCATAATATATAGAATATCATGAAAGTTCATCTGTGTTGGTAGTTACATGTTTAAAGTTAAAACGTTTGATCCAACACAAAAAATTCTCTCACCTAGAGCTTTCTACCAGTCACTCTGGTCTTCCTCAGTAGACTGACCCAGTGAAGCTTGTCACGTTGCTTCTTTGAAGTGTGACGTCAACACTGGGTCAAAGGTATCTGGTAGACGATGTCGGCCCCCGTCACGGTTGAATGTAGGGTGGTGGGCCCTGATGTATGATAATGGCTTCTTTAACCCAGTCTCAAGAAACTGTAAGGATTTTAGACACTGAAGAAGACTATTTCTTGAGAGGGGTGAAGGAAGCCATAATACATCCGGGCCCATCACCCTACATTGAACCGCGATGGGGGCTGACATTCAATTGTCTACCAGATACCTTTGACTGAGGAAGACCAGAGTGACTGGTTGAAAGCTCTAGGTGATGAATTTTTTGTGTTGGACCAAAAATTTTAACTTTAAACACGTCATATGGAATACTACACCCATTTGAGCACAGGTTGGTTCATCCAACACTTTGAATGGAGATCTGACCCGTGGGAGGGCTGAGACTAATGTAGAATACACTGTGTTGCATCAAAACAAAAATAGTTGCACCCTCCAAAAATAAGGCCACGCCGACTTAATTTTATGGACATCCTCTGAAGACCCCCAAACTAGTGCGCGCGGGTGAATAAAATAAAAATCCGGCCAAAAATAAAAATGCTACTAAACCACAGGAATACAAAGCCAGTATTATGAATTTGCGGCAGAACATAGCGACATATACGACAGGCCGACACATACTGGCTTTTTGCGGATTTATGAATCGACAGTGACTGTACGTATGTACTGAGGTCTTGAGTCGTGGAGCTTTGGTAGCCTGGGTGCCATCCAGACCAGAGCCTCGGATGACGTGATCTTCTTTTTTTTTTTTTTTTTTTTTAGAACAGATGATGAAAATCAATGCGCGGATGTCATCCATAAAATTAAGTCAGTGTGGCCTAATAGGTACACAATACACATTCAACCAAAAGTACCAAAATGTAGTAACTATATCCAATTATATTTGCTTACACTGTTGTGGGGATAAACTATTAACCATCGCATTGACTATTAAATATATAGTAACAATAAAATAAAATGAATATATAGTAACCTTTTAGAAAATGAAGAAAAATTCCCTGGATTCTGGTTTTGTTAGCCTTTCAGTTCTTTATTGGGTATTTCTATGGGTAGTGAGCCAGTGTAGTAACAGATAAAGCTTACTTGCACCGGTGCAAATTACTGGTAAAAAAATTGTTGCATGGCACCAATTTTACCTGCACCAACTTGCACAGGGAGGGGTATTTTGAGCCCTGTGTAATGTGCCAAAAGGCCACACCAATTTAATTTCTAGGTTAACGGATTTTTATACAAAAATAATGGAGCGGGTGGGCGAAAAAAAAACAAACAGGCCTAGGCATCCTATTATGGCCCAAAATGGTACGATAGGAGCCATGAAGTCAACACACCAGGCTGGTTCAAAATTTTGACAATGAATTTTGAACTTTTAATGATACCACTGCATTGAAAGATGGAATGACTTTAACAAGAAGTATGAAAAGGACAGTTTTCAACTGTTCACGGCAAAATATGAGCATTTTGCAGTTGATTCTGAATTTTTATTTTTATATGCAAATCAGAAAAATGAAACGGCGAATCTGTTAACCAAGAAATTAAATTGGTGTGGCCAAAGGTGAGAAAATTTGGTAAGCACATCAGTCTTCCTACGTCCAAAGCCAGTATTTGAATGTTTGAAAGGAGGACACCCAGGGCATGCAAAACATGTAAGAGCTTATTTTATGGAAGTTTTAGAAGCCTGTGTGAAATACTATAACCCGGGGCCTTTATATCATACCCGGGCGGGGTTCCAGACCGGGCCGTACTTCATGGCACGGCCCGGTCCGGAACCTGTTATCGAACGCTTCCATGGCTTCCATAAAGCTATTCAAATGCGTTTTGCCCTACCCGCTTGTGCCCCTTTCGAAAATTCGAGTACAGAATCCGGACGTTGGAATTGATGTTGTTATATTTTAGGGTTTAGTGGCACCAACTTTTGGCTCATCTTGCATTGAAAGGCGTGTTTTGTTGTGTGGGTATAACATAAATAAAATACAACACGGTGTATTCCGCATCGCCCTCTGTCCCGGCCCTCCCGCGAGTCGGATCGCCCTGCGGCCGTCGCCCGACCCGCTGTCGGGCCGATACCTCGGGCGATACGGAATACCCCGTGTTGTATTCTATATGTATACAGCTAGGTATGATGTCATGTTTGGTCAAAATGCTACAAGGTAACATCAGAGAAACACTAAAAATGATAATCCTAGCATTGATTACATGAATCTTATTGCTCTTCCTTTTTCCTGCCAATTTTAGAAGTTGAAAGGCCAAGTGGAACAGCTACAGAAAACCCTTAAAGTAAGTATAATAGATCAACTTAATTAAAGATTTTAGTCCGCCTTTCACAGTACTTATACCTGTATTGACATCAGTCTTTGTTATATTTCACTCCATAAAGGTTTTGAGACTACCTGTCACTGAAAAAAACTTCTTGGGGGTTTTAATAACACCTTAAGGCCTCACCAATTTAAGTTCTTGGTTAACAGCTTTTTCTTGAAAAATAATCGAGTGGGCGGGCGAAAAAAAAATAAAAATAAAAACAGGCCTAGGCATCCTATTATGGCTCAAAATGGTACGATAGGAGCCATGAAGTCAACATACCTGGCTGGTTCAAAATTTACACAATTAATGAATTTTGAAGTTTTAATGATACCATTGCATTGAAAGATGGAATAACTGTAACAACTAGGATGAAAAGGACTGTTTTCAACTGTTCAGGGCAAAACATGAGCATTTTGCAGTTAATTGATTCTGAATTTTTTTTTCTTTTGCAAATCAGAAAAAAATGAAGTGGGCTAACAGAAGGTTATAAAATACTTGATACTGGAGAGCAGTGGAAAAGGTTGATGTGGAACAGTCCAATATTTCGGATGGCAGGAGAGATGCCGCAATATCATGGCAGAAGAACATTTTTAAAAACTGCTTAACCAAACTGGCTTTATATTTCTTATGGTAACATATCAGAGGGTATTGGATGTGCTAAAAGTATAGAGTCCCATGGGAGTTGTCCAATTATACATAATTATACAGTTATTATACATGACGATTTTGGCCCTATAGTTTTCTTTCATACATAATTATACATAGCCCTTTTCACCATTTTGCATAATCATACATAACCTGTGAACCATTATAATTATGTTTAATGGTAAAAGGGTTGATATGTATATTAATTGTATAATGGTCCAAAGAGTTATTTATGATCATGTATAAATCTATAATTGTACATTATTCTGTTGATTATTCTGTTTTCTTCCTACACCAGGATGATATCAGCAAGTTGAAGAGTGACATCGCTCTAGATATCAATCTGGAAAAAAGCAGGACAAAGGAAAAGGTAAAAACAGTTCATTTTCATTAACTTCAAAACATAGGCCTGCTTTACACATAGCTTTTTCAAGTCAGCTAGAACTCAAGACGACTTGGGCTAGTCGAGCGAAAATTTCCCTGTGTAAAGAGAAATAATTCAACTTAAGTTGCATTCTAATAAAGACAACTTGAGTCGTATCCAAACTAGTCGGCCAGCGGGGTGCCAAGTCCACTAGCTTTGCGTGTGTAAATGGGCGAAGTCGACTTGAGCGTCTCTGTGTAGTAGTCAGGCAAGACCGACCCACCGAGTCGACTTGAGGGGAGGGTGGCACACCGGGAGTGCCAAGTCGCTTTGTGGCCCCGTGTGTGAACAGAAATTTTTCAAGTCGACTTCGCCGAGTCAACTTAAAAATGGTGTGTGTAAAGTGGGCCATAGAACACTTCACCAAACATAGTGCAGTTGACATTCAAAGCCTTCCTGTAGTTTAATATGTATTACCGGTGTGGTCTGTTGGTACCTTCACTTTGGAAGTACGAAACAGTTTTTTGTTAGGTTAGGCCACACCAATTTAATTTTATGGATGACATCCGCACGTGCATTGATTTTCATCTGTTCTCAAAAAAAAAAAAAAAAAGAATCACATCCCCCGAGGCTCTGGCTTGGCTCTAGACCTGGGTACTTAGTGACAATACAGAGCCGGTGGTAACTCTTAAGGATGGCACCCAGGCTACTGAAGCTCCAGGACTCAAGAACTTAAAGTACATACGTGCAGTGCTGAAAAACTGCTGATTCATAAATTCTGCAAAAAGCCAGTATGTGCCGGATTGTCGTATACGTCACTATGTACTGCCGTAAATTCAGAATACCAACTTTGTATTCCTGTGGTTTAGTAGCATTTTTATTTTTGGCCGGAATTTTTCTTATTCGGCCACACACACTAGTTTGGGGGTCTTCAGAGAATGTCATCCATAGAATTAAGTCGGTGTGGCTTTAGGTAGGGCATGAACAAGAAAGGGAGGCACAATTGCGGAAAATTATATAATGGTAAGTTATATTCACGACACATTCAAAGTTGATTTTCAAGAGGTTAGCATGCCATTAGCTTCTTAGAAATATTGTTATTAGTTTTTATATGACAGTTCTATAACGAAAATGTCCTCATTTTGGCATGATCTTTTTTTGCACACACTCTTATGATCTTTTGTAATTAGGCTAATAATCATTGTTGGTATGTGCCAAGAATGGTACATGTTGTTGTTTTTTACCATTGCCAGGAAGGCAAACTTTAAATGCTTATATCCATTGATGGCTTGTCTGTCATGTTAGATATGTTATTCATATTCATTTTTTAAATATTTTGTATTGGTGAACAATCTGTCCATATATATATATATATTTAGTATGCATAAATACGGGTTAAATATTAGAGGCATTATATAACACCTAGCCCACATGAAGTGCACTTATTTTGTGCTGCCACCACAAAATATCAGAATGTAAACAAACAAGCTAACAGCTGTGTTTTCAGCTTTCAAATGCACTTGTGTGGTGTAATATTTTGACACCTCCACTTCCTGAATTACACTTACTTGTTAGGCCACACCAATTTAATTTCTTGGTTAACAGATTTGCCCGCTTCATTTTTTTCTGATCTGCAAAAAAAAAAAATTCGGAATCAACTGCAAAATGCTCATATTTTGACCTGAACAGTTGAAAACAGTCCTTTTCTTCCGAGTTGTTACAGTTACATGTATTCCATCTTTCAATGCAGTGGTATCATTAAAAGTTGAAAATTCATTGTTTAAATTTTGAACCAGCCAGGTGTGTTGACTTCATGGCTCCTATCGTACCATTTTGGGCCATAATAGGATGCCTAGGCCTGTTTTTATTTTTATTTTTTTCGCCCGCCTGCTCCATTATTTTTCTAGAAAAATCCGTTAACCAAGAAATTAAATTGGTGTGGCCTAATGGGGTAGGGAATTTGCTTAAGAAACAAATGACCAGAAAACTGCCTTATTTTATCTCCCTAATTTACATATTGCAGCAGCTTTATGTGGAATACATTACATGTACATTGTTAAGATTAAGTTGATTTAATGTTTAATGTTCCATGATCCTCATACAAGTCTTTTCCTCTATGTTACAGGAGTCAGACTTGGAGAAGAGAATCGCTCTGACAAACAACAAAATTGAAACAGATGTTGCAGGTCTGAGGACACTACTGGAGTCATCCAAGGCAGACATCATCAAGTACCTTGCCGGCTCCATGCTGACGTGTATAGCCATAGCTTCAGCCTTCCTTTTCAGACTTATGTTCATGAAATAGCAGACAGGCTCCAATATTTTTAAACCGAATTTAACGTCAAATGTGTGTTAAGTGCCTTTTCCAAGGGCACAACGTCTGGGTGCATGTCCGGACATGTCTGGGTCCAACCCTGGGGATTGAACCTGGGTCTCCTTGCTTGACAGTCGGATGCTCTATCCACTACACCACACAGACGCCACATAATATGGGTTCAACTATTCATGGTATAATATTAAGAGTAATACGAAGTACACACAAAGGATAATATGTCAAACAAAGAGGAATAAAAATCTTTGTGTACTGACACATTTGGCTCTGAAGTCCAAAATGTCATTTTGAATGAACAACTGTCTTCATTTGTCAAACTGAATTTTTAAGTCCAACACTGTTACTCTTAAGTATTACGGAAATAGTCACCTACATTGTAGTACATAACTGTGTTAGCAGAACACTAAGAAATATTGTCAGCAATCAATCATGTTCTCATCTTTAGATGCTTAAATACAATATAATACCCCCTTTACAACAAATTGAATTTTTTCTCTCAACTGGCATCGACTTTGCAGTCCTGACACACGTTAATGACTGGGGCTCATTATACTGTTAGTACACATTAGAGCTCCCATTAGATAGGCCACACCAATTTAATTTCTTGGTTAACGGATTTTTCTAGAGAAATAATGGAGCGTGCGGGCGAAAAAAAACTTAAAATAAAAACAGGCGCAGGCATCCTATTATGGCCAAAAATGGTACGATAGGAGCCATGAAGTCAACACACCTGGCTGGTTCAAAATTTAAACAATGAATTTTTAACTTTTAATGATACCATTGCATTGAAAGATGGAATAACTGTAACAACTAGGATAAAAATGACTGTTTTCAACTGTTCAGGGCAAAATATGAGCATTTTGCAGTTGATTCTTAGTTTTTATTTTTATTTGCAAATCAGAAAAAAATGAAGCGGGCGAATCCGTTAACCGAGAAATTAAATTGGTGTGGCCTTATCCCAAATTATGTAGATGATGTATAGACTGACCATGCAGTATTCAGACCTTGTGTACAGAAGCATCTGTTTATTACCTCCATGACATGACATGGAGGTTATATTTACCTTCGAAGGTTATGTTTTCAGAGGCATTCGTATATGTGTGTGTGTGTGTGTGTGTGTGTGTGTGTGTGTGTGTGTGTCTTTATTAAGTAACATTCTGTGTACTGAGATCGTCACGTCCACTGTTATTCCAAATATTTTCCACTTTACGACCATGCATAAAATCGCATAAAAAGCTATGTCTTTCATACCGCAAGTACACCGATTGTCAGCGGGGCTCTTAGTCCACGAGGCTTAGCTTTATCGCCACTGTGTATTTGGTTACGGGCCCATATCCGATTAATTGCTTATCTGACCATGGCCTAAACAAAAGTTTGGAAACTTGATTTCGGTTGGTTGGTCATATCTTTCTTGTAACTGCATCGACTTGATTTATTATATATCATTATTATATATCATCTTGTTAAATACCCTTTACCTGTACCCAAGTTTTATGAAAATACAATGAGGGATCAAACTCCAATAAATCTAATAAAGTTCAATCATACATTTATTCGTCAAGGCAGATGATCTCCGTTATATGTAAGAAAATACACGTGTGGAAACAGCGAGTGTTAGTAGATGCAGACGTGATTAATGACTTTCTCCCCCTGGTCAGACTTAACCCAACCATATGCATTACAATGAATGAATGAAGACCTTTATTGTACGCAAATACCCACTGGGTTCAGTACAGGTCACAGGAAAAGACATCACAGTTTTCAATGAATATATACAATGTACAAGTGTTAATTCTATGTACTATGGACATACATGTATAGTCTAATAATTACGATAATTTGGCTTCTTCTCGCTTCTTAGTAATGTATTTAGATAAGTACAGATGTGTTTTATGATCGAAGGTTTGTCTAAAGCCACTAGAAATATGAATCTAACTTAGAATCCGGGACCTCTTGGTTCCGAGTCGAGCACGCTGCCATTGTGACAAAAGGACCCCACAAATAACATTTGACACCTAACGCACTGTCACACTGAAGTGAGACTTAGAAATAGTGAACTACAAAAAGAAAGGCAGACCGACATGTTTAGGGAGATGAAAATGACACTTAACATTTACTTTTCGTTTTGCACACTTTACAGCAGAGATAAAATGTTTTGCAAACGCCTGACTCAAATGCATGTATTTGTCAATACACCTCTCCTTTTCACTGATAAGACAAAGCTAGTGGTGCTTGTTGACAAATAAACCTGCGTTTTACATCGCAGGAATAATCATCCCACATGGGAAACCCAGTGACACCTGACCAGTACTGCACGCACAGTTTCATCCAAAGGTTCCTGCTAGCCGGCTCACCTGGATTCCAGCCCTGTATAAACACAAGGGAAACGTTTAACATCCAAATAATGACAAGAATTCGGAGATCTCAGACCTCCATGAAACCATGATGTTAAGAAGTCGGACGTTTTTGGGAGGGGTCGAAAATCTCTCCTAAATAGGCTCCATTTACCTAAACAAATTCTGATGCACCGTGTTAGCCGTCTGCAATCTCCTTTTGCAACCATCTTTACCTTCGCCAAGAAGGTTTTGTTTTCATTGGCGTTCGTGTGTGTGTGTGTGTCAACACGATAACTCAAGTAGGCTAAGATGGATTGTCTTTATACATTGTATTTGGTAGGTGGGTAGGTCTTGATGAGACCTGGAACTGATTAGATTTTGGACCCCCTGGTGGCTTGTTATGGTACTGCAGCTGAACTTCCGGTTTTGACATCTCGTGATCTGGACATGGTAGGGTCACTACATTTGGATGGTAGGTAGCTCTTTGGCTGGGGAAGAAGTGACATGGGTTTGGACCCCCAAGCGGCTTGTTCTGGAACTGCAGAAGCATCCGTTGAAAAATATTCGAAGGAGGATAACTCAAGAACCGATTGACGGATCATCATGATTTTTGGTACGTGGGTACCTTAAAGAATGCTTGACATATTAAAATGATAGTTACGCAAATCAACAGATAATTATCATAATTAATGAGGAAATGCTATAAATCTGCTACATTCCATGATATGATTATTCAAACGTGTGGCATGTGTAATTGTGAAGAAGAAGAACATTGGCAGGTAGTGTTTATGCAAATGAATGCCTAATTTGCATAATTAATGCGAATCACCAACATTCGTCAAGGCCTAAGGGTAACATCATTTGGCGAAGGTATGAGATCGTGGAACTCTAGTTCTTTATAGTCCAAGGGAATATTACCAGCTGTCAATGAGGTTATGTAATATGAAAAACGGCTTCTGATACATTGTGATCAATGACTTTATGAATTATGACTCCTAAGGGCCACGCAGAAACACACAAGTTAAATGCATCTAATGCAGTTTTTAGGACTTTGAAACCCAATTTTTCAAAGTCAATATTCTAGTGGCTTATCTCCATACCACAGTTGAAACCACACTATTCCAATGTAAAATGACCCTCATGGACCAAATATACCCAAAATTCTGACTGAAAACGGTTACTGGAAGGGCCCCTAAAATAAAGGACTCATGTTGGGGCTTGTTTCTGCACTTTTAAATACCCAAAGTGTAAAATACTGATTGAAATGGGCTAATATGTGAAGCAGTGTGTGTCAAATATCATTAAGATTGCGTTGCCTTATTCACAATATTTTCTGTTTCGCTAAACGTACCTTGTACTTTCCCAATGGAGACCCATCGTCCCAAACCCAGCGTCTCGCCCAAAGACTGAAGGCGCCCCTCAGCCCGATGTAATAAATCTTGTTTTCGCCTTCCTTGTAGACCAGTCTACTTAAGGCCATGTCCAATTCTTTTGTTTTGGGCATCGCTAGCCTCGCTCCCTCTCCCTTGCAGGCTTCTGAGGCGTCACCATAGCTCATTTCTCGGAAGTCGAGTCGGAAGCAGGCCCCGGAGATGAGTTTGTATCCGAATCGGCAGTCGTCGCTCTTCGCAGCTGTAAAAGTGAAGGAATAAGAGGGTTTCAAGGTAAGGCCACACCGACTTAATTTGATGGACATCCGCGCGCGCATTGATTTTTGCCTGTTCTCAAAAAAAGCAAGAATTCGGAGATATCATACCTCCGTGCACGTGAAACATAGGAGTTTTCGTAATTTTTTTTATCTCATTGACTGTATCCTCTCCTTTGTCATCAATTAATTATGCAAATAACATTAACATGATATATGCATAGTGATGTTAACGCTACGTGACCGTAAGCAATTTATGCATGACGCAAAATTCACGATCATTTACGATCACCAATAAGGAAGTACAGAATTTTTACATTAATTATGAAAATTAGGTCACCATTTGAAAAAAAAAATTGGTGTCTCTTAATCTTCCACCAGCCAAAGATTACATAGGTTACATGTAACAGCCTCCAGTTTAATTCCGGACTTCCAGTTTAATTCCGGACTGGCCTCCCATATCTCAGCCTGATGGGCTAAAATTGCAAACTTTAGGTAAAAATGATGTAAGAAATACGTAGCAACCATCCATTGCCCCCTGGGGATTAATCTAAATTTGCAACATTATGCAACATTATGCATAATCATGCATAAGGTTTTGAAGGTTATGCATAATTATGCATAATGGTCAAGAGTTATGCATAATGCTTCGAACAGTTACATGTATGCATCACAAGCCACAAACACAAAAAGTGCACTAACGTAACGTACGAACCCCCATGGTGCACGAAGCCGAAACTTGCACTTGACTTCGGCCTCAACAACGGTACTCTGCCTGCCAAAAATCATGGACGTCGAATCATGCCTGCCAGAGTTATATCGCTAAATCCGCAGTCGCCCACAATGCGCCGAGACAATTCCATAGTCTTCCTGACGAAGACAAATATATATATATATAATTAAAAACTTTGGCTTCTACACAAAAAGAACTCAGGCACCTTTCTGACAGTTCTGTCCAGTCCAACCAGGGTTGCAGGTACATTTGAATCCGCCATCTTTGTTCACACAGCGTCCATGTTGGCATGGGTTCCTGGTACATTCATTCAGGTCTGCGTCAAAACAAAAACAAAAAAGGAATTCAAACAATGCTAGATTGAACTAGCAAACAAGCAACTACAGTATAGGGATGTCGGCCTTTTTAGTATTATTTTGAAAATGGCAGTCAATCAGTAAGGACTACGAAAGAAAAGAAATGCCTCAACTCTTCATTACAAACCTTGAATACTACACAAAAATAACTCACCTAGTTGACAGTTCTGTTCAGTCCATCCAGGGTTGCAGGTACAGTTGTATCCCCCATCTTTGTTCACACAGCGTCCGTGTAGGCACGGGTTCCTGGTACATTCATTCAGGTCTGCATCAAAAGAAAAAAAAGTCTTAAAAATTAAGGTTAATCAGGTTGATTAAACTAATACAGACAATAAATTCCTTAACACTTAATTTAACACTTTGGCTTCTACACAAAAAGAACTCAGACACCTTGCTGACAGTTGTGTCCAGTCCATCCAGGGTTGCAGTTACATTTGTATTCGCCATCTTTGTTTACACAGCGTCCATGTTTGCACGGGTTCACGGTACATTCATTCAGGTCTGTGCCAAAACAGGGGAAACGGTTGTTTTGCTAAACTAGGAACAAATTAACAAGAATTTGTAGAATTTCAACTTTGTTTCCAAATGACTGATAGTCATTAGGACCTTACAAATGTCAGACCCAACGCATTTAAACTAAGAATGCTACAAAAACCTCACCTCGCCGACAGTACTCTCCAGTCCAACCAGGGTTGCAGTTACATTTGTATTCGCCATCTTTGTTCACACAGCGTCCGTGTAGGCACGGGTTCCTGGTACATTCATTCAGGTCTGCATCAAAAGAAAAAAAAGTCTTCAAAAATTAAGGTTGATCTAGCTAATAAGCAACTATATTACATAGATGTTGGTCATTCTAGCCTTATTCCAAAAATGACATTTAATCAGCCAGGGACCTTAAACTAATACAGACAATAAATTCCTTAACACTTAATTTAAAGCTTTGGCTTGTACAAAAAAAGAACTCAGGCACCTTGCTGACAGTTCCGTCCAGTCCATACAGGGTTGCAGGTACAGTTGTATCCGCCATCTTTGTTCACACAGTGTCCATATTCACATGGGTTTTCATCACATTCATTCAGGTCTGTGCGATGAAGAGAATCATATATATCCTACAGCTTAAAAGGCCAAATATCATCCTATAGCAAATCATTAGTTACACAGTGTAAAGGTTCATGTTTCAAGAAAACGATAAAGAATCCCGGCATATATGACTGACACTAATTAAACGCTAACCTTGCTGACAGTTCTGTCCAGTCCATCCAGGGTCGCAGGTACATGTGTATCCGCCATCTTTGTTCACACAGCGTCCATGGAGGCATGGTTTCCAGGTACATTCATTCAGGTCTGTGCCAAAACAGGAAAAACAAAACGGGAAAACGTTAACGTTTGTTTAATTTGAATATTAAAATTAATCAGTAGACATGCAGGCAGAGAAATTAGATATCAGAGATTAGAGTTAGAATAGATGGACATCCCAGAATCATTGAGACAGCACTGATGGCCTCATACAAACATTTCTTACCTGTGGTTGGCAGAGACATGACGGTTACTGACAGGGTCTTGGAGTTCAGACTGATGTTTGCGAATGGATCCAGCCATTTCAGTGAAGCAGTGTGGTTATCGTCGAAGAATTCGAATGTCGTCAGGAATGGAGGGTCCGATTTCTGTAGGGTCGCCTTTATCATCGTGCCTTCTTGCATCATTGAGCCAAGTGCGTCCTACAGCCGTATGGAGACTACATTTAAGATCTGAGGCTCATCATTGCGTACAAGGTCAAATGTTTGGTAATGAATTTCTAAAGCAAATCCTACCACATCATTACTAAAGAAAGAGTCAGTCTTAACGCCGGCGTCACAAAGCAGGCCGGGCTCAAAGAGAGTAATCTCCAAGCAGATTATTATATATATATTAAGGGGAGTCTATATTGGCTGCTTGTTTCCAGTGGATACAGTCGGCCAATATAGACTCCCCTTAAGCTCCTCGGAGTCTGCTTGGAGAAGAGAGCTCAGGAGAAAATCGACTCGGCGATTTTGAGAAGCGGCGATCTTCTTAATGTTACCAAATGTGACACCGTCTTAACGAATCTTACAAAGTCGTATTGGTCGAATAAGGCTACGATAGAAGCCAGTTTGCAGCAATCTTTTTCGGTGGAAAGTTTCAGTGGAAATGTTTTGCAAATCCCAGCATTGTCGACTTTTGGAGATGATAATTACAGGAGATTGATGAAGACCTCCTGGCCTACCTCAGTTCTCACAAGGTCCAGATGAGTAGCCAGGATTATAGCGGCGACAGCTGACGCTATCACCACGACCCCACAACCCACTGCAGGCACGATCACTCTACTGGATATCACCCTAGTCCACAGGCCAATGGCACGCGCTAAACACAAAAGATAAGCTGTTGGGAGACCCAAACCTACATCAGTTCTTTCTGACCTAAACGGCTAACTGCAAACCGAAAACTAGAGTTCCCCGATCTCATACCTTCGCCAAATGATGTTAATCTTTATGACTGACAAATTATAGATTAGATTATTCCCCCCTGATTTAAGAAATAGGAACCTAATTTTCATGAATTTTATCATTTTATCATAATCTCAACCAAAAGACAGTCTTATATTAACAAACAATGCATTCTAGCATTTCCTAATAAATTATGCAAATGAGGTCCTGATTTGAATAAATTATGTTTAATGATGTTCACCTCAATTTAACTTTCAAATACCACAAGTATGAAATTCCAGGCAGTTATCATTACATAATTATAAAACTTTCTAATTAATTATGCAAATTAAGTCATTATTAACATAATCAATATCTTCCTGTGTTTCTCTCGTTGTCAATTACCAATGTCACAAGCTTCAATTGTCCTATCATGGAATGCAGATGATTTATAGACTTTCCCCATAAATTATGCAAATTACATCCATATTTGCATAATTGTGACATAATTATATTAAGCATCACGTAAGCTACCTACATAACAAAAATCACGACGATCCGTCAACTGGTTCTTGAGTTATCCCCTTTTGAATATTTTCAAGAATATATCCCTGCAGTTCCAAAGCAAGCCGCTAGGGGGCCTAAACTCACGTCACTTCTTCCCCAGCACAAGAGCTACCTATCATCCATATTTCATCACCATAGCATGTCTAGATCATGAGATATCAAAACCGGAAGTTCTGCTGCAGTACCATAACAAGCCGCTAGGGGGTCCTAATCATTTTGAGGTCTCATCAAGACCTACCCATCTACCAAATATCAAGACAATCCACCAAGGCCTTCTCAAGTTATCGTGTTGACAGACAGACACACACACACATACACGAACGCCCCTGAAAACATAACCTTCTTAGCGAAGGTAATTAAGACCATACAATATCTGTAACATATTTTTGTAGAGAGAAGGAGAGAGGCAGAGACCGGCTGGGGTGAGGGTGAGGGTGTCTCCTTTATATTTGCAAGGCATATCTATATACCACATACATATGGCCACAAGCCTGTAACCCTGAGAAGGCACACACACACACACACACACACACACACACACACACACACACACACACACACACACACACACCACAAAGAAACAAACGACAAAAACAACAAACAAGTAAGTAAACAGTCGTAATAAAAACTATTCCCTAAAGTAATCCTCTCTTCGCACTCTTATTGCAGCTATATTTAGAAAGCTCCAGATCTCAACAACAGAATTGAGTCTGCTTGTAAAAAATGGGATTTAAAGGTCAATGCGGCAAAATGTAAAGTTATCTCTAGTGAGGAAATAGACACATGATATAGTAGACATACTGCTGCAGCTAAGAAGGTCCCTGAATTTGTCTTTCTTGGAAGTGTCGTCCCTGGCAAGACACCTGCGCTTGCTGCCTCAGCATTTGGTAGGCTCAGAACTGTTTGGAACCGGAGGGATATTAGCAAGATACGTCTGTTCCAAGCACTTATTCTACCAATTGCTACATATTCATGTTAAACATGGACCCTGAGAAAATCGGACGAACGTCTCCTGTTATCCTTGAGATGTTTACTCTTAAGGCCATGTTGATTTGATTATATGCATGACATCCTATGGGAACCCCAAAACTGACGGGAGCGTGCGAATGACAAACAAAGTTGGTTTATTAATTTACATGGTCATTAAGGTTGAACAAATAACACATAGTAGTATGGTATGGTGAATAATATACTCTTCAAATTCATTTTTCAATCTTTAAATTTTCGTCTTTTTCCTTTGATTTTGGCATTCTACAACGTTGGTATCATTTTCGAATATTTTTATTTGCAACTTATGGTATATATTTGCTCATTTTGAAACTTACATGCATATAAATATTCAAAAACTATTGTATTCTTATACATGATATGCCACGTAGATATGCGTACGTAATACTACGTGTTGCATAAATCAGGAACCCCAAACATGATTCCCCGTTAATGTATATACATGTATTATGCTAAATTCATACAGAATTGTCTGAAAAGTTCAAACATGTGCACCGATTGTTAACGTCTATTGCTTTTGAATCATCATGCCACAGGAGCTACCAATGCAAATTCTAAAGACAAAATCTTTAAGGGGTCCTCAAAATTTACAAGATTTGAAGCACAAGTCGGGCGCATACCATAGAAATACAAACTATTGAATCCGTTTTTTTTTCTCGAAAACGTCTAATTGTAAAGCCCCTGTCTAACATCCAGAACCTTCCCCCAACCACCAACCAACCAATCGTAAAAGTTTGGAGCAGTCCGACCAGACTAGGTTTCTTTACGAATCGAATCAGATTTGAGTTAAATTTCAGTCTAATTTGACCCCCGAACAAGCCTATAACATTAGCCATACATGGCCAAACCTCCCGGCCACACCCGAATGTTTTGAACATTCGGCTGGCCCAGCCGAACACCAGCCGATCTTGCCGAACACCGGCCAACCACAGCCGACTTTTGGTCCCGATCGTCTCCTAAGCATTGTTAAGGAGAGTTAGCCTATTTTTTGGAGTCCATATATTCGGCTGCATGTGCCAGGAGCTCAGATTAGAGTTCCGAGGTCTCATGCCTTTTTCCACCCTCCCGAGCAGGGTTAGTGGCTCGGCCCCGAAGTGTCAGCCACTAACCCTGCTCGGGAGGGTGGCCTTTTTCATCTAATATTATTTAGTAAACACCTGACCATTTCCTGGCCCTGTAGCAGTACTGACTGGTCCCTGATTTGTGAGTGTGTGTTCAGACGTACCTTTAGCCTTGTAGGCAAAGCTTTCTTCCTCGCCGGGAGTTTTGTTCCCGTGAGCACCCTCTGGTTCTGGTTTGTCGTGGACAGAGCCGTATTCTGCGTGAACATCCTCCGCCGTACGGTAGACAGACTCGTCTTCTTCGTACCCGCGTACATCTTCAGGAATGTCGTAGTCGTAGACAGACTTTTCGTCGTGCCCCAAACATTCATCGGGCACAGGGTGCAGACGCCCCGAGCTGAGCCTACTGATGTCCACGGCCGCCCCCTTTCTGTACCCCCCATCCGGAGGTAGCTTTTTTTTGGCTGCTGACATTTCTGTGTCGAAAACAAGAACACACAATTAATACATATCCAAACATCAGTGGCTCGTTTACATGTACATTGTAGTAGCATAACATGGTATGGTCCTGTATGATATTGGGTGCACTAATAATCACAAATTAAAGCAGATTCATTCGGGGGCAAATGGTAACTCATGTGGCCAATTTCATCGTCGACTTTAACAAACAACATGTATAGAACAACAGGTAACAGAATTGATACACATCCAAACATCATGGACTGGTTTTATCATCGTTACATGGACAACGAAGCCAAGCAAAGAGAGAGAGTACATGGTGTGATCCGTTATGATTGGGTGCACTAATACACTACCAAAAATGTTTTTTTCTAATTTCTCTTATTTTCTTGTGTTGAGAAATATTTTCTTGCCAGGAGGATTTTCAAGAAAATTCGAGAAACACTCTTCAAAGATTTTGTATGTTGATTCTTACAACAAGAATTTTATTCTTCTTTTTTTCTTAAGAAAAGAAAATGTTTCTACTACCATGCTCACAAACAAGAATCTTACGAATTTTTAGAATTTTAAGAAAGTTTACAGTAATTTTTTTCTGCTACAACAAATCTTTGCTTGTGTAGAGAATGGTTTTCTTGCTTCAAGAACAGGTAGCTCTTAGTTCAAGAAAATATTTTCTTGTGGACAGAATCGTTTTCTTGCTACAGCACATGTGCTTTTTTAATTTTCTTGCTACGGGGATTCTTTAATTTCTTGTTCAAAGAATAATTTTCTTGCTACAAGATACCATTTCTTTGTACAAGGAAAACAAGAAAAACAAGAAAAAAGCATTTTGGTAGTGTAGAAACACTAGTATACTGGTTTATTCTGCAAATGCTGTATTTAATTCCCGCAGTTAGCAAACGACGTATAGAACAAGCGGTTGAACTTGATACCGTTAACACTAAGAAACTATACCAATATAGGGCTCCTGAATTCGAAGTTGCCAGTTTTGGGCGTGTCCAGATAGATTTCTACTTAAATTCAGCAAGAAAGAAACGTGGACAGAAAAGCAAGAATTGTTTGGAACTATATACAGAATACTGGTGTGCGGAAAATCGGCCACTAAAGCTGAATTTCATGACCGAATTCTGTATCTGTATCTGTATAGCC